AAGTTCTCTGTCAATGTATGATTGTAGCTGTTTCTGTATTACCTTTAGCAAAACTTTACTCACTTGAGATATCAAAGAGATTGATGATTTCCGCATTCTGTTAGGTCACCTCTCTTTCGAATGGGCACAAATATTGATCTCTTAATAGGGTTTCCAAAAAGCAGTTGGTGAGCTTAAACTGCCAATCTTACAGTTCAAACCGACTTTGTAGTCCAGCACATTAACTCACAGCGCCACATGAGGACTAGAGTTCATTATTTATTTAAGATTCTCTCCCTTCTCCCCGTTGGAGATAAAATTTGCAACAATGAAATACATATATTTTAAGCTGTGTTTTGCCAGAGGTGCGTGTGTACTCAACAAGCCAATCTTGTAGCTATCATCATGTATTTAAAATTGGCATTTACTTACTGAGTACTGTTAAACATTTTTTCATGACCTTTTGTGATATGTCTGATCAAACCTTTTGCCCATTTCCTGTAACAAGAAATTCTTTGTACATCTTGAAAACCGTAAGATCTTACTTCGTAAACAATTATGTCATCATCTACAAATAGAGCTTTTTACATTTTTCCACTTTTCTTATTCCCAGGGTTTTTGTTTCCATGACTTTTATCTTTCACCTGTGTTTTCATATTTCTTTACTATGACAAGGACTGTTGCTATTCAGTTTCAAAATAGCTATGAATACTAAACACTTCAGCTAGTAGTCACTTCAGCTAGTAGTCATAATAAATTAAAATTTATTATTATTCTAGGAATGGATAGGAAACCTAAATTCTATTATGATGAAAATGTTTATAATAATTGACAAGATAAACTGATTTGTGGATGATTTTTGTGGGTTTTGTTTTGTTTCAGTTGTCCCAACTTGGACAGAAATAACACAGAAGAACCTTAATATGAAAATCATCTACTTGGAACTTGGATTAATGTAAAAAGAAAAAAGAGCCAGATGTTTTTTTTTCCTCCATAATAGTGTCCTTCCTAACAGTGAAACTTAGTTATTTCATAATTTTTAATAAAATTCTATACTTAATATAATGTGTACTGATTAAAAGAATAAAGCATTTCAGAAATAAATTTTTTAAATGTGCTCCTTCTCTCCTGTTATGTTTGACAACTGAGTGATAAAAGAAATACTTATCTGAATAATCTATTGTCTATTCATGTGATTTGATTGATTCACAAATTGCCTATATATATGCATTTTAATAAAAAAACTACCTCCCCATTGCTTCTTGATTTCCCAGGTTGCCTCTAGATTAAGGAAGGCTTGTAAAGTTTCTTTTCCCCAGCACACCTAAATACATTTTGTCACATAGAAGCCTTACTTTATATAGTGGAGACACTAACAAGATCTGGGATGGACAAATAAGCACTTACACAACGCAGCCCTGGTAGTGTAGTGGATTACAAGTTAGGCAGCTAACCATAAGGTCAGCAGTTCAAATCTAGCAGTTGCTCCACTGGAGAAAGATAAGGCTTTTTACTCACACAAAGGTTTACAGCCTCAGAAATACTATACAGGGTCACTCTGAGTTGGAACCAACTCAGTGGCACTCAACCCATACCACCACCACTATAAAGTTTAAATAATCGGGAAAGTGTTTTATGCTTCGGTATTTAACACCAAGAAGAAATGTTGATCAGTCATATAACTCAAAGTGTCCATAAAGTAAAAACCAAGCTAATTGCTCCAGAGAAACATCTGTTCCAACTATTTGAAAGACCAGAGCTTTTCTTCTAATGAGCCTCATCAATAGGAATCTAATTGTACAACATGCTTACAGTACAGAAATCAATAAGATTCATACAACTCTTTCTTTTAACATCACTCTGCACAAACCAGTGCCATCATTTGAAGGCACAGCTAAGGAGAAAGCTAGTTAGGAATCATTATTCTGCTAATCTGATTTAGACCTGCAATAAAATCAGCAGTGTCTATAACTGATGTAGAACACATCTATGCAGTCCAAAGAAAAGTAGATACGGAAGAACAAAGTGAACAAGCCTAAAACAGAAAACCACCCACCTCCCCTGAATACAAGTTCAGATTCTTTTTAGAAAAAAAAAAAAAAAAATTATTTCAAAATTGACCAAAATTGTAACAAGGGTACTAAAATTAGTTGCCTAGTATCAATTCTGGGGTCCTAGTTTGGTGCTGTGGTTAATGCACTGGACTGCAGAGTCAGTCTGAATTGCAAGTTCGGCAGTTCAAGTTCACCAGCTGCTATGGGTCCGAACCAACTCCACAGAACTTAACAACAGTATCAATTCTGACTCATTGCTACCCCATGGGTGTTAGAGTAGTGGCACACCACCAGGGTTCATCAAAAGCAAGAGGAGGAAGCAGATACTCAAAATGAGAAATGGAGAATGAAAATGCTTTTGCCAAATCTATGAGCTTAACCCTAGGTGTTTTCTTTTGATATGTGTAAGTATATGTTACAGAAGTCTCTTGAACCCATTTTGGTTTTCTCCTTCCAACAAGGAGAAACATTGGATAAATGGGACATGTTGGATACACTGATTTTCAGTAGTTAACATGATTCACATCAAGTGGATAGCCCAAGATTTTGTAGGCTGTGGGCTTAGGTTAAATGGCCCAGAGCAGTAGATAACCTTGGTGGTGATGTGCCATGTATAGGGTTTCCGAGGCTGTAAATCTTCACAGGGGCAGAAAGACTGATCTTTCGCCCATGGAGCAACTAGTGGACTTAAACTACTGACCTTGCGGTTAGCAGCCCAACTCATAAACCACTACACTACTAGAAAAAAAAATTTTTTTTCTTGTGAATTGAATGCAAGTTTACAGGGCAGATCATCAGTTTTACATTCAACAAGTCATACAACTTGTTTCATCACTATGATTATAATCCCCTACATGTACCATCAGTTAACTTTTTTTTTTTTTTAAACAGGCATATATAATAACTTACACCACCAAAGGGCAAATTCTGCAAGTCTGCCTTCTGGCCACTATCTCTTAGTCCCCTCTTCCCATGAATCTAGAGTCTTCAGCCACTCCTCCTCTCCATGTCCCTGCCTCTGCCTCCATCACTGGTGTCACTGCTTCTCTGGATAAGGTCTCACATTCTGCTTGTGCTCTTCTCCCTGATGGTCCTAGGGTCCTTTGTTTCTGCACTGTAAGATTAACTGCTCCCCATTTTTGTTACAGAACTTCTACCTTTACAAGTGTGATAGTCGCAATTAATCATGATAACAATTACTATTGAATTCTAAGAATCTTATCCCCATCTCTTCACCAGACCCATCTAGACAAGATGAAAACTATTCAGTGGGAACTATTTCTTCCCCCCTCCCCCCACCAATACTCTTAAACTAAAATCCCTCTTGAAACCTTGTAAGCCAGTCACTTCATGCCTTTATCGCCCCATTTTAGGTAGCCAGTGTCTAAGTTGCCCGCCCCTATCTACCCTGTGTACAGAGGGGATAGCATTGATACTGGATGTGAAGACTCCTTCCTGCTCTATTGGTATTTAGAGTTACTACCGCCATGAGTATAGGTCAGGTTCATCAAATTGTAGCAATTTACCCTTGTTTACTTTATCAAAGAAAAAAATTTTTTTTTTTTGGGTAATCTTCCTCTACTCGAGTTCTGATTAGCGAGCCATCAAGGATAGGTCAAAAGGGTACTGTCTGCAAATTTGGGTGTTCTTGTGCATCTCCCCTCACTTCATATCAGCTGGATGCTTCACTCTCAGCTCTAGCTCTCTGTGGCTATGCCCTCGTCCATGGGCTCAGGTTTCCCCAGGTCTCACCACACTTTGGACCAACCAGCCCTTCCTCTTTCTCTCATCTCCAGGTCAATGGGAGTAAATGGACCTTGGCTGAACTCAGCCCATTTCTTCATTGCTGCTTTTCCCCCCTCTTCCACTCACAGCTTGCTTATTCTTGTAGTAACCCGTCATACTGATATTTTTATTTGGGTTTTCCCTGATGATCTTTCTTTGAAGGTGTATCTTCTGTTGCTCTAGCTGTTCCAGGCTGGTCTGCTTGTCCTTTCAAGTGGAAATGTCCTACCTCAAAAGGTTGTGGATGCAACTCAGGATTCCACCTAAGGTCCTATACAAAGGCTTCGCAAGAAGCCTACTTCACTGGGGAAGTTCCAGAACTCCCTTTAGGTACTCCAATCAGTTATAGGCTGAATGAAGATGGGCACACAAGTTTTCTGTCATGTTTCCCAACATTCTTTTCTATCCCACTCAAGTGTCTATTTTACAATAGTAGGCAAGGAAAACAAATATTCATAAGACAGTCAAGCATCTTAGTATTATTTCCCTTCTTCAAACTCTGCCTAGATCCCTCTATCCCAGAGTTGCTCAACCTGTTGTTTCAAGGTTGAGCATACATCACTATTTACTTATGTCCTACTTAGCCCATGCAAATCTGTCTCAGTGTTCCCCTATCTACCTTGTTCTTCCACCTCCTCCCACTTCTTGTATTGCCCTCCCCAACACCCGAACTATGATGTGTCTGCTCTTATCCTGTGTTCTACCACTGCCTCCCTCCACCTTCCCTTAAACCCCAATCCCACCATTGTGGTTACCTTATATTCCATTAATATTTCCCTCCATTTAAGACAGTCTATTTTATCCTGTAATCTACCTGACTTTCTCACCACCTGGATCTCTGTTCCTCTGTGTTTACCTTCTTTCACATTGTAATTGTTTTGATCATAGACTGACCTTCCCAATCCTCTGAATTTGTTCGTATAGTTTTATTGTGTTCTCAACTCTTCCATTTGATGATTGAGTTCCAAGTGATGCTACCACATACATCAATCTCAGGTTGTTATCTATTCTTGTTGGTTCTCAGTCTACAGAACTACCTTTAGGATGGTTTTCATCAGAGGGTTGGCTTTGACAAAAATCTTAGCTTCTGTTTATCCTGGACTGTTTTGATTACACCATCATATTTGATTGACAGCTTTGCTGGGTAGAGGATTCTTGGTCGGCAGTTTGTTTTTTCTTTCAAGGCTTTATATATGTCTCCCCCATTGCCTTCTTGCCTACATGGTTTCTGTTGAGAGATCCAAGCTCTTAGTCTGCTTTGCTTGCCTTTGTATGTTACACTTCTGTTTTCCCTAGCTGCTTTCAGGATTCTGTCCTTATCTTTGATTTTGGAGAGCTTAAATATTATATGTCTTGGTGATTTTCTTTTAGGGTCTATCCTTCCTGGGGTTCGTTGAGCTTCTTGGATGCTTATCTTTTCACTTTTCAGGATGTTAGGAAAATTTTCTTCCAGCAGCTCTTCAACTATCTCCTCTGTGGATTTGTGTGATTCTTCCTGTTCCGGAATGTCGATAATTCTTAAGTTACTTTTCTTCATGCTGCCCAATATGAATCTTAGACCTTCAGATTTTTTTTAACCTTTTTTCTGCTTGTTCTTGTATCTTAGTAGTATTGAAAGATTTATCTTCTAGCTCACTAGTTCTGGCTTCCATCTCTTCTATTCTACTCCTTTGCCCTTTCAGTGTATCGTCCATTTCCGATATTCTATTATTAATCATTTAGACCTCTTTCTGTAGGTTTTGAATTGTTTCCAATGCTGTATCTCTCTTATTTGATTGCTCCTATAACATTTTCCTGAACTTGCTTCCTTATTTTTCTCAACTCCATTGTAAAGTGTTTTGATACATTTTATAAATCATTTTTCTGAATTCCTTCTCAGGCACTTCCAAAGCCTGCCCATCTTCCAGCATGGAGTGTAGGTCTCCCTCCAGCGCATTTGTCTCAGTCACTTTATCTCATTTCTGGATATGTGCTGATATGGTCATCTGTTTCTGCATATTCAAGAATTAATTCTGGCCTTAATACTTACTTAGATGGGAGTGTGTTTTGGTATTTTTTGTGCTTTCT